CATTTCTTTTTCCATTTACATTATACATAGGGCTGTTTGTTTGGCATTGCCATCCCTTAACACTGCCCCTTATCATCCTCTAATTCTCTTCAAAATAAGAACTACACTTTCCTTTCACAGCACAAATCTCATTAACTCTATTAGGATTTACTAATGCACATCTGAGGGTGGACAGCCACAGTGAACGTGATTTCTGAGATTCCTTGCTACTTTCATGTCTTCATGTATATCCTTTGTACTAGTTATTATGAAGTCTGATATAATCTCCAGTGAACGCACTTATTAAAAAGATATTCTCTAATAAATCTATGAAGTGGCTCTGTGGTTTTATTTTCTTTAGTTAGTATGTCACATCATTCACAACAGCATTTCAGTATAGTAATATTTAGGGCCAGAAAAAGACCATAAACCTAATTTATGTCAATCTACCTTGCTGTTTTGCATATATCTTAATATGATATTTGCATCTAAATAAATTCACTATTTGTTTCTGAAAGAATCCTTTGTTTATGTTTACAGTATTGATGAAACCATGATTCTCTTCATGGAATGAAAGAAGGTAGGTTTGCTTCAAAGAAAGCATCTTTTATTTGAATAGGAAAATTAATCCTAATAGTATCAGTTGTAACAGTACACATTGATTAGGGGGACTAATGCAGGGCACATTATCTGCTGAAGAAATAAGGACACAAGGGCAGAGGAGAGCCTGGAGCTGGACAGGAGGAAGGGCAGTGGGCAAGGAGTGGTTGACTAGCTGCGTCAAGAAAACTGTGGCCAAGTTAGGAAACTAAGAGGAGAGAAGCCTTGGTAGGGATAAAAATGTGGAAGAAGGACTAAGAGAACCTCTGAGAAGCTTACACATTGGTATTGCAGGGAAAACTGATGACTGATTACATGGCTGTCATACACGGTCAACTGACCATAGAACTGTACCTCTGGGTGATCCTTGACTAAGTCAAATCTGATGTTTGCAGAGTTACCACAATGACATCACATATTTTGAGGAAGGCAAATCCAGAAAGATTCTGAAATGACTCTGTATAAAGCAAAGAGAATTGCTAGGAAAATCAGGGGAAACACAAAAGTCATAAGGATGAGGGAGACTATGACAAGGTGGGGAAGCTGGAGGCCCTTTCAGAGAAGTGGTGCAGGACGTGGCTATCAGTGGCTGAGTGGCAGGAGGAGGCAAAGGGACTGTCACAGTAGAGCAGCCAGTGAATGCCCAGGCATATCTCAGCATCTTTTATTCTCTACACATAAGCAATACACAAATCCCATTTTCTCCTTGTCCTGCAGAGTCCCTGTGAACTTGGGAAGAGCACATAGTACCATAATGACTCATTGTTCTGACCAACAAGTATTGCTAAAATGCTGATTTGAGGTTAGGCTATGCTCCAAACCTGGAGAAATGTAAAGCAGAGAAGAGTGAAAGAATCACAATTTCTGCTGTCAGCTCTCTTCTAAAATCTCTTGCTACTTCATGTCTGAAGAAAGGACTGTCAGAGCCTGGATGGATGTATTTATACTCACTAATCTCTGCTTATCAAGGATTTTCTTCTAGCAGGGAGAAATCTTGTTGCTTTTTCCATATTCTCCTTGGCCGCGCTTCTGGTTCTGACACTGAGAGTCATGTACTTCCTTTCACTCTGCTTGCACATAGCTTTCATCGTGCTGGTCACTGCCAGTGCTCTGGCTCTGTCACTCTGCCATCAATACATCTTTTACTTCCTTCTGTTTCCTCACCTGTTCTGGCCACCACAGACTGTCTTTGGCTGTGGTGTGCTCCCTATGCAGTCCGGCTTTGGAGTATTTCATCTGCTTATGAGGCTTTTCATCATTTTTTGCTGATGAGTGCATATTAAGTTTTTCACTCTTGTGTCCATCCAGCAAGTAGCCTGTGTGAGATAGCCTCACCATTCTCCTTAGCACATCCCAAATGGTGATCCTGCCAACACTTCTGTTCCCAAATCTCCTCTTACTGGTCACAGAAACACTGCTCTTCCACACCCACATTACAGGGGAACAATTTATCTCCTGTTCTGAATACCAAATACATTTTGGTAATTTCTCCAGATGTTTTTTCCTTCCACAAAGTAAAAATACTGATACATGCCTCGCTTAATTACTTTCCATCCAGATCATTATAATGCTCCTGTCTGATTGCCAGCATCTGTATAACATTTTCCTAATTAATTTAAAATCTGACTTCTTAGGTTGTTAGCTGACATTTTCAGTCACCTATCGTAATCCCCTTTCCTACTTCCCCTTGAAATATTAAAATACTGAAAACTCAAATACTGAAACTGAAAATGGAAATACTTTTCCCTCACTATCATGGAGGTACTATTCATAACTTGCATCAATAACTCAGTATACGCTCCTGACATTATGTTCAACAGCTTTTTATTGCAAAAGCCATTGCATAGATATTCTCAAACTCATAGGAAAAAACCCTAGAGCTCTAATGCCCTCAAAAGATGTATTTCAGGAGGTTTTCTCTTGTTTGTCAATATGACAATACATTTCTGATTTTGAAATATTTATTTTAGATTGGTTGGCCCATGTTTCACTGTCTCTTTTCACATGGAAATATCACTGGAATTTTGCAGAGAAAACTGGATCAGCACAGAAATTTCTTTCTCTCCTGCACCTGAAATTCTGGATACCTTCTCTACTTCCCATTGTTTTAATGAAGCAAGTTCAAAGCAGTGTACTTTCTGTAGACAACCACTGACATTTATTTTTAGGTTATTTATCAAAAGGATATATATTACAAGCTGTGCAAACAATTAGATTTTTAAAGTTTGTGTAAGTCAAACATTTTGTTTCGCTGTAAAAATGATCAAATGTTGCAGATGACGGGCAAAAAACTGATGTCCTACTTTCACAAAACAGGAAGGCAAGTTCTGCACAAAGATACGTGTGAGCTGGATGGTAATCAAAGATTTTGCTGCAGGCAAATTGCATTTTCTTGCTTACAGTTAACACAGTGAGAGAAAACTCAGCTTGTGGTTTTGACAAAAAACAAATGTTGGTTGTTACAGGTTGATTTCTGGTAAGTGTATAATGCAATAGGATTTACTTTAACGTCTGTATATTCCCCAACATTTAGCAGAGAGGACAGAGGGGTTGCCCAGATGACTAATGGGTAGTATGAAAACAAAGAAAGTATCTGTTTTAATAATATATATAAAATCCTAATACTTAGTTGTCTACAAAATAGCTTTCATGATGAGTAACACTGACATGCAAATACAACGGAAAAACCACATCTGCCAAATATTTTAAAATACGATGACATCTCTTACCTCCCTGTTCACACAGCTGTTGTGCTAAGGCATCCTTGAATATAACTTGGCCCCTATGAGTAGCTGTAGCCCTGTGAACATAAAAAAGACAACAATAAATAATGTAGTATACTTATTTATATGAACAAATATACATATAACCTCTCAGTTCAACAGTAAGACATTGAAAACTACTTTATGAGTGTGGTTTTTCTGTCAGTTGTGTGCCCTCTCTGACGGATCACACCTAACTTGCTCATGAAAACGTCAGGAAGGAACGTAAAGGAATGATCTGAAAGGAAAGTCAAAATATATAGCTTTTTCTTGGCTACTAGGCCAGTTACACTGACAAGGAAGAACAACAAAATTAGCATATCTAATATTAATTTTTTCAAATACTGTGGATCCTCAAGGTAAAACCTATCTGCAAACTGTCAGAGCACAAACAGAAGTAAATAAAAACTTCTCTGGGATCAAATTTGCTTCCTGCTCATTTAGACAAGCTCTATTTGCAGCAATATATGTGACCAGAAATGTAGAACTACGGCCACCTGATGCTCTTAGGGCTTTTTGCAGCACTCCCTTCCTCTGCTTGTGAAAGGAGAGCTGTGGTGCTTTTTCCATCTGCTCGGACTTTCAGAGGGTATGTAAACCCGGAGCCTTGGCTCACCTGGTAACGATAGTATTTTGGCCTTAGTCCCGGTATCACATTACCAGTGTGAGGTTTTGGTTGTAGTCCCTACCATGTGCATCATGGAAACTATTCTAGGATTTCCAACACTTCTGCAAAATACAGCAAAACATCATTCCATAGATCTTCATTAACATTTCTTCATCTGCTGTCATGACCAGTGACCATACTGAGTACAGAGTAAAATAAAAACAAATATGTCATCACAGAGCATAAAGAAAGGCAAGAGAGCTGAGACTCTCATTTCTTTTTAATTTCTCATGAAAGTCTCATTTAAAAGTATGAACTAAAGTATTTCTTAAAGCTCTGCTGTGATGAATATGCAAGAAACCATGATCACTACATATGTTTCTTCAAATTTTCTCACAGGTGTATGCAGACACAGAAGTCAGAATGGGACCAAACAACCTCCAAAATCAAACACTTGTCCAGGCTTCTTTAAAAGGACCAGATATGGTGACTTCCTCTAGCAGATGAAATGGCAAGGCATCCCACAGCCAGCTGTGGGTCCAGCACAGCACAGACAGACATGTTTTGAAAATGTTTCATTGCAGGAATTCCATGATTTGAGCAAAAATCTGGCTCACCATACTCCTGGGCACATGCAAAAATCTGCCACATCTAAGGTACAGGAGGTATTTTGTACCCTCCTCCAGGCTGGCAGGGTGGAAAAGAGAGCTCTTTGCAGACAGTGAGAAAGAAAACTCGTATTAGCAGTGGACTGGGACTTCAGAGATGCTGTTTATGCAGCAGCCCAGCATACAGTTCAGAAAGTACGCAACAATGATGGCAACCACAAAATTCCTTTATGAGGTAGAGAGGAGCAAACTCTCAAACCACAGACCACGTGCAAAGGGGAGCTCGAGTATGTATCTGAATCCAAACAAATACCAAGTAACACCAATAGTACCAAACTGTGTGCTGTTTGCTGGATCTCTGCATGCGAGTGAGAAAAAGGGGATTTGGGGGAGAGAGCCAGCAGCCAGTTGAATGATCTGCATCTTTCTGTGTCTGTCATCGCTTGCTTGATGATGCAGACTGGGAGCCAATTATTGCTGCTCCACAGCAAGAGCAATGTGCACCCTGGGGACAGCGGCGCTGTGCAGTAAGAGCACTGCATCCTACAGCGTGTGCTCACATCAGCGCTAGCTTGGCAATGGGCATATGCATGAGTCCTGCACTGGTCAGCTTCAGAGAATTACTAAGGGTATTGCTACTGCCAGTTTACCAGTATTATCTGCTTGTTTTTTTCTGTATTTATGCTTTATTCATGGTGCAAATGACAATAATACAGGGCAATTATGCATGTGCTAAGCTACTTTTAGAAAGAAGTGCAAAATATAGCTTTACTGTATTGAACTTTCTTTCTTGGTGATGTTCCTACCTGATAGGTGAGATTAATGCAACAGGATCATGAATTTGGATTTTTCTCTTTTAAAAACGAATAACACATCTAAAAATATATCCATCCTTATGTGGACACTTAAGTGTAAAAACTACATAACATTTATAGTAATTATAACAAATGTAATATTGGCAATGCCTGAGAAAGACTCTACTAGAGAAAAAAGTTACTAAACTGTTAATTATGGGGCTTTATTTTCTTGATGTGCTATTTTTCAAAAGTTTCTGTACAGTCCTTAAGGTAGCTAAATATTGTTTAGATGAGGGGTGCTTACTGACTATTAATTTGTGTTACTCCACACCAGTCTAGAGGTCCATTCTATCATTGTATGCTGTTTATTTCCAGATAAAGGTCAAGTGACTAATCAAATCTAACCTGTCATTCTGCCAAAAGGCAAGACATATGCTCCATGTGTCAGCAGAGGTGATTCCTCACTAGAAGAATCTTTCCAAAGGGGTGAGAACTAAAAGAAAAAGATACTTTTATATATTCATGACCCTGTAGACAGAGAAATGTCCCTCCAGCCTCCTGGTGATTAGGTGGAGCACACTGAGCTGTGCTTCCAGGAGCAGGGTACCTGTCCCAGGCCTTCCCCTGAAGCCATTCCCACCTGGCTGTGCTCTGGAGTTCACTTGGTGCTCCCTCTGTCCTCACAGGGGTGCCTGGCATCTGCGTTTTTTCCTGGCGAGGGAAGGCAAATTCATCTGGGGGGAAATCTGGGGAGAGACTTGGGTTTCCTCCAGTAAAATACCCTATCTCATGACACCCCCAAAAAGGTTTTCAACACAATCAAGGAAAACAAGGTTATATTTTTACCACACTAGCAGAGCTTGCCCACTGCTAGCAGCTACACTGTGTATCTGTACGCAATGGTTCGTGACTGCTTCCACTGGAGGAAATTTAGGGTGACAGCCACAATGCCAGCTCCAGGGAAATCAGCAACTGAATCTATGAAGCTGAGATTGGTCTTCCCAAACTCCATGGTGCTGTGACCCCAAATCAGGTCTGATCCACCAACAGCACAGACTGCACTCCCTCTCTGCCGCTGTAGGGGACACGGTCAGTACTGGGCATCAGACCAGCCTAATTTTTAGCCTGAATTCTGTTTTTTTAATACACACACCCCCAAATACTGCCTAATTAAGAGGTCTCAAAATAAAATAAATTCAAAGGCAGGATAAGGAATAGACCTTCTGCAGATTAAGTGCAGAGAGCAGGTGTGGCCAGCCTCTCTTAGTGGAAGTGTGAAACATTTTCTCACTGTGCCCTGCAAAGGCTGTTTAATGACCATTTACTGTGCGCAGCAGAAGGCAATGCTGGGCTGCTTGGGGTTTTAGTCCATTTCTTTTACCATGGCTGAAACTTCCAGTGACAATTTCTTCCAACAGCAGCCAAGACCCATATAGCGAACCTGACTGGGAGATGGTGCTGGTGTTGGGGCCAGCAGGGAAAATGCAGAGAGCCCTCATGGCTACTGATCCAAGAATGCTTGGGTGGGAGGCTTTAGACTACTGGTTAAATGCCTCTATATTGTTTTTTCAGTTTTCACTTGACGTGCAAGCGCAGCCTAATTAAAGTAGCAGGAACAAGATTTGTGGGTTCTGAAAGACACATTTTTGACTCTGCCTTTCCCTCCCTGTCCCTCAATGGTTTTTTCCCTGAGATACTATAAAAAAGTAATCTGTCCTGACCATATTCAGCTCAAATGTCCAGGGAAATTTGGCAAGTATGATGTAAATACTTAGGTAGATGTTTGTTCAGGAGACTGGAGTTAGCATGCTTGCTCTAAAAGCCTCGATCAGAGGTGAAAAGTCTTCAGAGAGAAAGGATTAAAATGGGGTATGTGCAAAAAATAGGGTATGTGTCAGAGAGCAAAGAGCAATCAATTCATTTGGGGCAGCTGTCCTGGGCTGAAGTCTGTGGTTCACATTCATAAATTGTAAGACTTCTTTGCATTTGTATAGAGTAAATGCAAGAGGAACAAGAGTCACCTCACTTTCTCTCTTGTCTCTGAAGTTATCTCTGGGGACTGCACATGCATGGAAAGGGGCTTGAAAGGACACTTTCCTAAGGGCACTGTGAACACTTTGGTTAAGTTTTGAAAATAATAATAAAGTCTGAGAGACAGGAAAAGAAGAACAAATGTCAAAAGCTTTCTCAGCAAGATTAAATAAATACCAAGGAAAGAAATCAAAGTCTTCTTTTGCAAATGTTTTTGGTTGTCAGCCAACATTTAGAGCCACACATGTGCATTTCCGTGTATGGAAGCAAGAGCATGTGTACCCATATCAACCAGCTTCACCTGAGACCATGCGGTCATTAGTGAAACATGCATCAAAACACTGATAGGGCTGGCAGAAACTGTCACTGGGTTAGGATAAAACAAACCACGTGCAGAGATGAGGTATTTCTCCCTCCCAGTGAACTGTAACTCTTTCAATGTGGCTTTCAATGTGTCAACTGCATCCAGCTGCCTTGCAGAACTTCTACATCATTCAGTGCACCCCATGCAAAACATGCATTTTTAAAACAAACAACTTCAGCTGAGGCACTCCTAAAGTGTGCAGTGGTCTGCGCACCCTTCTGTGTGTTGCTCTGATGTGTACATTTTCATCTGCATACATGGTCCAGCTCACACGTATAAGACATGTAGAGCTACAGCTCTGAGCTATTTCCTTAAATATCTTCTGCACCTGTTTTTGTAATGTGGCTATACTACCCCAAAAAAAGGCAGAACTCCCCTCCTGTTTCAGTCAAAGATGTTAGTTGAAATATTGATAGGAATGAGCCGTTAATTATTTTGCCAGCTTTTTACTTCCTCATAAGAAAAAATAGTGTTAAAATTATCTTTTAGTCTCTTTCAGTCCTGTCAGAAGATCTGGCTCAGCAGTAAGCTGAGAAAGCCACCCTCCACCTTGAGAAATGAGTTTTGAGTCAACCTCAAAACAATTTCCATTTCATTCATTGAGGTGAGGTGGGTTTTGTTCTTGTTCTTT